AAGTTATATTATCAATGTTCTTTGCTTGGTAGTTCTGGTAAGTGTTTAATTTAGAATCCAGCAGAAAACCTATAATGGCCATAGAAATGAATACTTATTAGACCCTTATTATGAGCCAGAATCTCTATTAAGTGCTGCTTTACATGGCATCTAACAACAATTAAATAAAGGATGTATTTTTAGCTGGTCCCGTTTATAGATGAGGACAGGGACTTGCAAAGGTTACGGGGTCATGCACCATTACAGTTTCCATCATGTGCATGTTCCCATATTCGCTGTGGAAATGAAACGCTGACACAGGATATGCTAGAACCACATAGGTGAATGCCATTTTTGAAACATGGATCCTGCTTCACATTAGGAAAGCAAAAACAGCTATTAAAAGCAATTTCTGGGCCAGGCGCAGTGGCTCACGCTTGTAATCCCAATAATTTGGGAGGCCAAGGCAGGCGGATCACCTGAGGTCAGGAATTCAAGACCAGCCTGGCCAGTATGGCGAAACCCCATCTCTATTAAAAATACAAAAAAAATTGGCCGGGTGTGGTGACGCGTGCCTGTAATCCCAGTTATTTGAGAGACTGAGGCGAGAGAATCGCTTGAACCCAGGAGGCAGAGATTGCAGTGAGCTGAGATGATGCCACTGCACTCCAGCCTCGGTCAGAGCGAGACTCTGTCTCAATAAATAAATAAATAAATAAATAAAGCAATTTCTAGTCGTCTGATAAAGGATGAGCCTTGCAAGAAAAATGATGAATAGAAGTAGGAATCCCACACTAGAATTTAAGAAAGGCCTTCCCTCTGCAAGGCGAGACAAAGTAGCAAATGTTAGAAGCCACATTTTGCTCATTTCTGCTTGCCAGCATAATGTCCCAAAGCCCCTGACTCTGTGACAACATGCAGCTCTTGGGACGGATGCGTTGAAGACAGAACAGGATAAAGCACATGACCCCCACATCTCTTGCCTAAGCTATTACATTAAATGATAAATGCCCTAGCCTTGCCTCTTCCTACACATAAGATGGCATCTAACAGGTTGTGATTACGCTTTTACAAACTAAAACCAAAGGTACATTAGAAATCTATAACTCGATGTACTCTTATACTCAAATTTTGATGTGACCTTGCACATGCTGAATCTCCACTACCTGAAGACAAACTGTGAACTTAAATACTCAGCCTGTAGTCCTCAGAAAGACTTTTGAATAAAATGAACTTTAATTCTTTAAAAGCTTGACTTTTTTCTTTAATGAACATTTCCTATAAGCAAAAACCTCAATCAAAAACTTAAAAAGCACACACCCACAGCCTGGTTTTCCTTTGTGCTATTCATTTAGAGAAAACTAACATTGGTTGCGTTCACTGAGTTCCAGCTGAGCTAGGAAATGCCCTTCTCGCTGGTTGATCCACTCCCATTCTTCTCCATCTCAGTTCCACGGGCTCCTATTATTATTATTACTTACAAAACCCAAGTCTGGCCAGACTGGTCTGTCTTGCTCAAACACCTCTGATGATTGCCCACTAAGTCCTTGGTATGTATGCAAGTGCCCTTCCTTCCATCTCAGCCCTGCCCCCTCCAATCCAGTCTCCTATTAGAACTCATTTCACCCCAGGCCCATGCCACATCAAGAAGCTGTCTGCTGTTCCCCAGAAACATGCCATTCACTCTGGTCTTCCTGTGACTGTACCTAGAACACCTCCACCTCTATTGTTCACCGTAAGAATTACCATCTCTTAGGACCCACCATAAGCCAGGTCCAGTGGCTCATGCCCCACCTCTACTAAAGATAGAAAAAAATAGCTAGGTTTGGTGGCACGTGCCTGTGTCCCAGCTCCTCAGGGGGCTGAGGTGAAAGGATCTCTTGAGCCTGGGGTTGAGGCAGCAGTGAACCCTGATCATGTCACTGTACTTCCAGCCTCAGTGACTGTGAAACCCTGTCTCAAAAAAAAAAAAAAAGTCCCACCTTGGATTTATCCTGAAAGTACCACTCTGTCTTCTCCTATCTGCAGAATTAACCATTCTTCCTTTTAGGGTCTCATAACATAGCATGGATAGAAGGAAGCCAGAAGAGAATGATAATTAAAAAAAGAAAAAGAAAAAAAAACAGTCATGTAACATTCTGGATATCCTTTTCTTAAAGGATATCCAAATCATTGGAAACTTTTTTCCCCATATTTTTTCACTCCCAACGGGCAAACAAGAGGGAGCCATTTCCCCGATTTTTGAATTCTACCTTAATACATCCCACGCTTAGCCTGCTCTAGAGTAGGAACTCATTAAACCTCTAGTTAACAGAACTGAAATGGACAAGTCACAGCTTCTGAGACTGTTTCCTCATTTGCAACATGCCGAGATTCTCACAATTCTACCTGCTGTATGAGGTTGTCACAGGGATCAAATGGATAAATGGGAGGAACGTGTACTAAAAGCCAGAGGGCACTGTATGGGTACATGGCAATATTGTTCCTTTAGCAGAGAAGCCACTTTATCTTCTTTGGTAGCACACGGAATGAAGGACTACATGTTTTAACTCCAGTTTGAGGACTAAGAAGTTGCCACTGCACTGTGAGCCAAGGATTTGGCAAAAAGCACAAAATAAAACACATGGACATGTTGTCTGCACTCCAAACCAGTCACATTCATTTCATACTATATCCTATTGACATCAGGAATCCAGTTGGACTCACTAGGGATTATTCTCTTTGAATGTGTGTCATTATCCATAAACCCTAACACCATACAAAAGGCTAGGACTAGAAGGAACAGGCCATATTAATCAGAATTCCTCCCTTGCATAAACATTGCTGCTACAGTCCTTAAGAAATTCAAGTCAAAAGAGGGGATATTGTGGGGTTAGGCGTGGTGGCTCATGCCTGTAATCCCAGCACTTTGGGAGACTGAGGTGGGCAGATGACCTGAGGTCAGAAGTTCGAGGCCAGCCAGGTCAACGTGACAAACCCCTGGCTCTACTAAAAATACAAAAATTATCCTGGCGTGGTGGCGTGTGCCTATAATGCCAGCTACTTGGGAGGCTAAGGCAGGAGATTCACTTGAACCAGGGAGGCAGACCACACCATTGCACTCCATTGCAGTGATGGAGCCAAGACCACACCATTGCACTCCAGCCTGGGCAACAAGAGTGAAACCATTTCTCAAAACAAAAATAAGCAGGGGTTGGGGGGCGCGGTGGGAGGGTGGAGGATCTGGGGAATCAAAACTTCCTAATTCTAAATGTGGATAAAACCTCCCAGAAATAGTTTGTGTCTTTACACAGACCTATTACAGTAACATTTGAATCTCAGTTACTCAGTGCACTCCTTTTTTTCAGTTGCAGAAACCAAATAAAGATTAATTAGACTGCACGGTAAGCATGAAATTCTCAGAAGATCAACTACTTTTAGGTGAATTACCTCCCAAGAAGATGTTCTTTCTGACTAGATTTTTTTTCTGGGTATCAAGCATTCCATAAAAAGTATTCTAGTGGCTGGAGTTCTATACATCATCTGTGCTATATGCAGATTTTTACGTTTTACATACTAAAAAATGAAATAATTTAAAAGGCTTTTAAAAAAAATAGAGCTCCTAAAGATTTGAAAATGTCTTACCTCCTTGGGGAAAAAGGGTCCAAGTATAGACTCGCACATCATGGAACCTAAGTTCACCGAAGCTGCCGCTATCAGTACAAAAACCTGTTCTCTGGAAAGCCACCTGGGAGTCTCTCCTGCACTTCCTGCAGGGTCATCACCTTGAATGCAAACATGCTGCAGTTAGCCATGTAATTGACAGTGCTGATCAAAGTACACAAATGTGATTTCTGTGCACATATGTTGCACTCTGAAGATATCATTTACGGAACTTAGGGCTATTATGAATATAGCACATTTGATCAAATGGAACATAATCCTTGTACATTACTGCAGTTTTGAAAACATACTGCTTTCATTTACATACCATTCTCTGTTAGAATTTCAATGCAGAAATCATCAAGCCATCTGCTCTTTTGCCTTCACCTTTAAGTCTGCTTCTCTGGTATTTAATAACCCTTCAAAAAGGATGAGGTGGCAGGGTGATCTCCAAAGGGTGATGCTCTCTGAAGCATAGTGTCCTTATTTTCTCAACTTACTAGCATCATATGCTACGTGAAACTCAATGTTTCAAGCATGTAATGTTAATAAGATTTCTAAGGCAGCATTGAAGTCAAATGAAGTGTAAGTAGGAGAAAACAAGCTAAATCATTCAGCTGGTGAATGAATACTTACAATGGTATGCTTCTGGATAAACAAGTCCCACAAATTCATAAATCAATATTTTTTACATTAATTGTCTTTTGCATCAGTTAATTTAACACTTATTTCCAGGGCTAAATTGCCATTTAAAGACATGAAGTCAATTACTCAGAGTTTCAAATATCCAAGCAAATCCATCAGCCATTTATAAATTAAATTGTTTTAAGGAAAAACTTAGGAAAAATATATCCGGTTTCCTCTGTTTTTCAGAGGTTGCCTTTGCAGCCCAGAAAAGAAAAAAAAATCTGTGCAACATGAGGAAGTCTTACTATTCTTTGTAAAATGTTTGTACTAGATGAGAAAGGGAAATGAGAGAAAGTTAAAAAAGAAGGGCAACAACAGTACTTGAAAGGTAACGTTTTACATTTGCCTAATGGCATGCTTATTTGAATGCATTAAGCACACAGTACTTAAAAGCAGAGGTATAGGTTAGAAAATCATTAGAAATCACGACACATATCCAGTGCTGGAACTTTACACCCTTCAGAGAGAAAAGTAAACGCTGGCCCCAACCCCATGCTCAGGCCCCAGGCTTTTCCAATCTCTTGGAAACGAATCAAGCTAAAAGCAATTCAATCGTTCCTAAAGAGACAGGCCCGAAGCCGCCGCCGCCGCGCTCCCAGTTCACGCGATTCATGGTCACCTCCTGATGCGCGTGGGCCCTCGAGGTCAGCCGGCGCATCCATGCCCCGTAGGTGGACTCTGGTGCCCCCAGCTCCCGGGTTCAAGTCACTTCCTTGGATTCGATTTCCAATATCCACTGGCACTCCGGTGGGCGGCGCTGCTCAGCTGGGCCCTGGCATTCCCGACTCCCTGCGGGCAGCGAGCGATTCACCCGCCCTGCCGGGAGCTCTGCCCGGAGCTCTGTAAAACCTTCCAGGACTCTGAGTCCTCGGGAGGCAGGCCGGGGGCGGGGCGCGGGTGGAGCAAGGCTCCCCCCGCCCCATTTTCTTAATCCACCACCTCAGCTGCTATATCATGCTGTCCTTTTTCATTCTGTATGTGAGAGAGTGAAAAAAGATAAGTCTATATTCCATACAGTTGGACTCCCCTCTATCTTAAAATTAGTTCAATTTATTCCTATTAAAAGAAAGAAAGGAAGCTCTTTAGACACAGAAAAGGTAGGGAGTACCTCAACTGAAAGACACAAAAGTGAATTAGAAAATTAGGTTTATTTTTATTTATTAATTTGAGATGGAGTCTCTCTGTTGTCCGCCAGGCTGGAGTGCAGTGACCCAGTCTCGGTTCACTGCCACCTCCGCCTCCCGGGTTCAAGTGATTCTCCTGCCTCAGCATCTCAAGGAGCTCGTATTGCAGGCGCCCGCCACCACGCCTAATTTTTGTATTTTTAGTAGAGAGGGGGTTTCACCACATTTGCCAGGCTGGGTTTCGAACTCCTGACCTTGTGATCCACCTGCCTCGGTCTCCCAAAGTGCTGGGATTACAGGCGTGAGCCAAGGCACCCAGCTGAAAATTAGGTTTATTCAGGACCTTTGGAAGAATGAATTATTTTTCACAGTGAGTAAATGAGGTAGAGTTCGTAATTATTGAAACCTGACACTAGTGAACTGAAAATGAATTAACCTATGTGAAGCAGCTGGGGTCGAAAAATATTTGCAAGAATACTAGTGAATATTGAGGAAGCATGGTGAAGTGGCTAGGAGTGCGACCTCTGCAGGCAGGTGTCAGGGTTCCAAGCCAGGGCACTTTACTGGCTGTGTGTAACTTCAGATGACAAGGTCAGTTTCTCCATCTGTACAACTGGGATTATAATGTTTATTTTGTTGGGCAGCTGTGAGCATTGGCGATAAGGTGTTAGTACCTAGGACATGAACATGATGGCTGCTAACTTACTTTCACATTCACAGTTTTCTTGCACAAGAAAAATAGGTTTCACTTATTTTCACCTTATTTACTATTTGGGAAGTGTTAAAGCTTGAAGACTGCCTGGGCACGGCGGCTCACGTCTGTCATTCCAGCACTTTGGGAGGCTAAGGTGGGTGGATCACCTGAGATCAGGAGTTCGAGATCAGCCTGGCCAACATGGTGAAACCCTGTCTCTACTAAAAATACAAAAAAATTATCTGGGCCTGGTGACACACGCTTGTAATCCCAGCTACGTGAGAGGCTGAAGCAGGAGAATTGCTTGAACCTGGGAGGCAGAGGTTGCAGTGAGCCAAGATCATGAAGAATCGTGTGAGTGTGCCTTTATTGACTGAGAATCTGCCTCAGATCCACTGTACAAGGTCTGTTCCAATATATGGGATGGCTGATAGTAAGTTTGTAATTGTGCCACTTCACTCTAGCCTGGCAAAAGAGCAGAAACTCCATCTCACATAAATAAATAAAGTTTAAGGACTGGGAAATTCTTGATTTGAAGCCAAAGCAAAACAAAAAGCAAAACAAAAGAATGAGTTACCACTTTGTGCCAGGCATTATGAAATTAAAGATGAACGAGCCCCATCCAGACTCTGCCCTCAAGTAGCACTCCGTCTAGCAGAAAAAATACACACTAATTAATAATCTATAATGCAATCAGTTGTATAGAAACATATTGGAAGAACCACTTACTTTGGCAAATGGGTCCTGGATGACTTCCCAAGGAAGTGATGTTACCTTGGTTCTTGGAGTTTATGCAAAAATTCCCCAGTGAGCGAGTTGTAAGGAGAACCTTTAGAACTACTCTAAACAGAAAGTTCCACTCTAGCAAAAGTTCCCCAAAGTAGCCTTATGAAACATTTATGATCCAACCTCTGACAGCTTCTCCAGTCTCATTCAATTCTATGCTTTCTCTTAAATCTAACATCAATCTGTAGAGGGAAATTTTCATGAATGATTTCTTTGATGATTCATTTCCTTTTTTGCTTTATTTCTGGATTGTAGATGTTGGGTCACCCAAACTGGCCCTTTTTTCTTATTTCTCTTTTTCTTCTCTCTCTTTTTTTCTTTTTGGTCTCACTCTGTTGCTGAAGCTACCATGGCACCATCATGACTCACTGGCGCCTCAACCTCCTGGGCTCAAGTGAGCCTCCCACCTCAGCCTCCTGAGTAGGTGGGACTACAGGCGTGTGCTGCCACTCCTACCTAGTTATTTTTTTTTTTTCTTTTCCTCCATCTTACAGGAAGTATCCCTACCTGTATCTTGCCATCTGAATTTTTGCCAACTGTATCTTGCCAACTGAATTTTTCATTTCTGTTGCCATCTATTTCCTTGTATCTCCATTCTCATTCCTTTCCCCATTTACAGTCATTCTTGCATGTTTAATGCAAATCACTTTCTTTATGTTCCCCCCCAAAAAATCTGTGTTCTTGTGTGTCCATCTATTTTTAATTTACATAAAGGCTATTCATATCCCTATCCTCCTCTCTTCTTCTAATCTCTGTGTCTCTTTCTCCCTTCAGATGATCAGTTTTATAATCAAATATATTATTGTGTTAGTTGTCTGGGGCTGCTGTACAAATCACCACAGACTTCGTAGCTTAAAACAAGGTCCTGGAAGTCAGAAGTTCAACATCAGTGTCACTGAGCCAAAATCAAGGTGTCAGCTGGATCATGTCCCCTTAGAGGCTCTAGGGAAGAGTCTGTGTCTTGCCTCTTGAAGCTTCTAGTGAGTACTGGCATTTTGTGCCACATCACTCTGATCTCTGCCTCTGGGGTCACTGTGCCTCTTCTCTTCTATGTGTAATCTTTGCGCGCTACTCTCGTAAGGATATTTTGAAGGACTTTAGGGCCAGCCTGAATAATCCAGAATGATCTCCTCATCTCAAGTTCTCCAATTTAGTCATATTTGCACAGACCCTTTTTTTCATATACGGTAACATTTACAGGCTTCAGAAATTAGGATGAGATCTTTGGAAGCCATTATCAGCCTACCGGAATTAACTATTCATAGTTTTATATTGTTCATTTAGACATACATACACATGTGGAATTTTTTTTCTTTACAAACTAAAATGGAGTAATACGGTCTTTGTGTAAATGCCACCTCCTCAGAGAAATTCATTCTTTATTATTATTTATTTATTTATTTAATAATAGAGACCAGGTTTCACCATGTTGCCTGGGCTGCTCTCAAACTCCTGTACTCAAGCGATCCATCTGTCCTGGTCCCCCAACGTGCAGAGATTACCGCCGTAAGCCACCACACCTGGCCAAGAAATTCATTCTTATCCCCTTATTCAAATACAGCCCCAGTCATCTTTTGCCCTTTCACCTTCCTTTTTTTCTTCCTAGCATTTCTATCAGTCAGGGGTCCCTGTTGCTAATTAAAAAGAAAGAAACATTGGCTAATTTAAGCAGAAAATGAATCGATCATTGGTTATTAGGTAACACATAGTATCATCAGGAGGATCATGCATACCACTTAGAGATTAAGTGCCTAAACTCACACCACCTAAAGAGTCCTGTATGCATGGCACTGAATCCGGCTGGACATACCTTTGCAGCCTGTGCTGCTGATACCATTGGAGCCAGGTGTAAGACGCTGTAGTTAGAACATCAGCCCCACTCCTCAAGAATGCTGCCACTCTCACCAGAAGAGATTTTAGGTGTTGCTAGCTTCTTCCACTCACTTGCTTCCATTGCATATCAAGACCCGATGTGTTTGAAGTCAGCAGTAAAAAAATCCCCAACTTTGTTCTTCTTTCTCAAGAATGGTTTGAATATTTTAGTTACTTTGAATTTCTACAGAAATATCATTTTCTCCAAACAACATGGTGGAATTTTTATTGGTATTTTTTTGACCCCATACATCAAAAGGTCACAAAGTAAGCTGGAATTTTAACCCTGCACCACTGGGTCCTCCTGACCACTCCAAGATAGGAAATCATTATTATGCCTCAGCTCGGTTTTTCTCTCCAGCTCTGGTCTTCCAAGTGTTTTTTTCAATTCATCTCATAGATGCTTTCTTTCACTTGATCGCTCTATATCTCCTCCTTCTTTGTCACCTGTTATGAGTTGAACTGTGGGTTCCCTTAAAATTCATATGTTGAAATCCTAACCCCTTCCACCTCAGAACAAGACTTTATTTGGAATAGGTTTGTAGATGTAATCAGTTAAGATGAGGTCATGCTGGAGCAGGTGGGTCCCTAAGCCAATATGGCTGATACTCTTATCAAAAGGAAAAATTTAAACACAAAATCAGACATGCACACAGGGAGAATATCACGCAAAGATTGGAGTTATGCGAACACAAGTTACAAAACACCAAGATTGCCAGCAAACCTCCAGAAGCTAGGAAAGAGGCATGAAACAGATTCTTCCTTGCACACTCAGAAGGAAACAACCCTGCCAACACTGACTTCAGACTTCCAGCCTTCAGCACTATGAGATAATAGATTTCTGTTGGTTAAATCACCCAGTTTGTGGTACTTCGTTATGGCAGCCCTAGCAAACTATACATCTACACGTAGACAATTCAGAAATCCAAATTTGTAAATCCAAATCCAAATGCAACAATCTAACACCAATATTCCCTTTTCCATCTATATAGCTTTTAGCACAGTGGGATAGAACCAGTTGTATTTTTGCCAAATCGGAAATGTAAAGAGTCGTTCTTGAATTCTCAGTGACCACCTTTCCACATTCTGACAATCATTCAAATGGCTAAAGGGTTAGGAGCACAGGCTTTGAAGTCTGCTGAGCTTAAATATCAGCTTCCACATTTATTAGCTGTGTGATCTTGGGCAACTACCTCAGCTTTGGTTTCCTGACCTATTAAAGAGGGCTGATAGCGTCAAAACAGATAGGGTCTCTATAACAATAAAGGGAAAATATAGCTGAAAAGAATTTAGCACCTTACCTGGCATATAGAAAAAGTGAAACAAATTACCTGTTATTATCAGTGTTGCTCCTAAAACAAACTTTAAATACATTTATTTTTCATATGTATGTCAGACTCATATTTGTGCACGTGATGTGTTATACTCTGTTGGTATAAGAGTGACTAGCCACTAACCTCTATGTAGTCTTG